CCTTCTCCTCCAAGAAAACCGCCTCATACCTGGAAAGCAGAATTCAAGATTTCTCTTTCTCTCCAGAGAGCATATTTCCCCAGTGGCTCAAGGGATACACTTTTCCACCTGGACTTCATTTCTGTTAACTGTATTGACTCTCATAAAATGGACTACAATTATTTTCGCTGTGCACCTCTCAGTAAAAATTCCATTGCTCTGCATCATGTCTCGCCCCTTTTGTTAAACTTATTAGCACCACAGTGTCCAAGTCCGGCTGGAAGGGCAGAGGCGTCCGTCAGGGAAGTTAAAATCTGTCCCTCTGAGGCCCGTTTAGTGGCCAATTTAAGTCTTTAACAGGAATCTGGGAGTTTAGAGCCCCTTTAAGCCTCATCTGGATCTATTTTTCCGAAAGTAACCCGGGCCCCTCTTTGGTATGTTACCAAATGTGGCTTTTCATCCTGAGTGTAAGCAGGCGGCCCGGTGCCCTGTGGAACCATCCTGGAAACATTACGCTGGAGCAGCCGCTGAAAGTCAGAATGAAAAGCCTGGTTCCTCTTCCAGGGGAACTTCAAAGCAGGCAGGGCCTGCTCCCATTGTATTTCTCCCTTACATCGAGGGAGCCACATGGCAGGTATGCTTCAGTCTGTGTCTTACAAAGAGGTGCGGCTGGTTTTGCCGCTCTCAGCTCTTGTCTTGGAGAGGCTGAGGAAGGGGGAGAGGCTGAGAGAGAAATTGTCCCCCACCATGGTCCCGAGCACCCCCAGAACACTGGTGTGCACCGGATCCTCCGGGCATGCCTTGACTGTGGGGGTGATGTCTCAGTNTGAGCACTGCCAGAACACTGGTGTGCACCGGATCCTCCGGACATGCCCTGACTGTGGGGGTGATGTCTCAGTTTCCATGAAGTGGGAATGCTTACTGTGGAAATTGCCCTGGCATGAGATCACCTCGGCAATTAAATGAACAAACCCCATCAAAAGAAGGCTCCGCCACAATCAACATTTTGTTAGAGTAGAACTAAGGTTGCATTGGGTTCATGGGCCATAAATCTAAAAGTGAAGGTAAACCCAAAGCCAACAGTGCCTGAGAAATCACAGCGGGTGGGGAGGTGCGCTGGCACTAGGGCATGTCAAGAGGAGTCAGGATGGGGCCTCCGGACAACCTGTACCTCCGTTCTATGGGCCATGAGAAACAACCAACTTGCCCGGCTGGGCATGGCTTGGTGGTTGAGCATCAACCTAGAATCTGGGAGATGAGGGTTCAATTCCCAGTCAGGGCACATGCCCAGGGTGCGGGCTCAATCCCCAGTGGGGGGTGTGCGGGAGGCAGCTGATCAATGAGTCTCTCATCATTGATGTTTCTATCTCTCTCTCCCTCTCCCTTCTTCTCTCTGAAATCGATATATATTAAAAAATAAATAAAAGAAACAACCAACTTTTCTTAAGTAATACTAAATGCTGTATCCACCTTGGCTCTCTAACTGAGCAGGTTCTTGTGTCTCCATTTTACCTTGTCTAGGTGAATACTACAGGGATTACAAGTACCATGTCCAGTTTGAGAATGGTTTTTAAAAGCACATTTGTTTTTGTTTTGGTTTTTCTAAAATAGACACATTTGCCCATTAAGGAACTACCAACTGGGTAGCTTTCTCTATCTGTTATTTTGCCAATCAATAATTCTTCTTCTTCTTTTTTTTTNCTTCTTCTTCTTTTTTTTTTTTGTATAGTTAGACAACAATTTGGGATACAAACATTATTGTTGTCCTAAAACAACAAATACCTTCCGAGCTTGTGCTAGAGAGAAAGTGCTGGGCACTGAGGGTGCAAGGAATATGCACAAGTGAATCCGGGCCCATTAAAGAATTGCAGAGCGGCTGTGCACACAGGATAGATAAACAAAATGCGATGGAGCCATATGAGGGAGCAGTTGTTAATTGTCCAGGTGGCCAATGCTGAAAGATTTCAAGAGAGATAATGGCCACCAACAGTTGGTATATTCAAGGAAGACTTCTCGGAGATCAAGCTTCAACCTGTGTAAGTACGTGTGTTGGGTGTTTGTTTGGGTGCCAGGGTACAGATCAGGGCAAAGCGGGGTTGGTGACGGCGCGAGTCTGGTGCACTTATGTGTGTGAGTGAGTGAGAGAGGGAAGGGACACAGGACTGCATCTGGGAAGGCATGTGCCATGTTCTGCGATTCATCAGTTCATCATCCGTGGGAAACAGAACGTGGGCCCGGGGTTGGTGGATGCCAAGAAATATTTCCAACTCTATTCTGGAGAAAACACTGTCCTGAGAAAGGTTAAGGGAATAACGCCTTATATGGTCCAGTAAGCACAGGGGATGATGCAAACTAAACGCCCCTTGAAAAAAATGCAAAGCAAAGGTACTAGTACATTTTTGGCCACACCGATCTTCATCCTTGGAAAGAGATTTATTTTCCATTTTTCACAAATTTTTAAAGTACTGCTTTAGGGAGATACAAAAGAAGTGCCTCTTGTTCAGTCTAGAAAGAGTGAACACTGACCTGAAAGTAATGGAATATGATTGAATTCTCCTGAGCAGATGGCAAACAGGCACCAAGAGGTATTTGAGAAAAATTAACCTACTGAGCCTTAGAATAGGGGCTAAGAGAAGCACTAGAAGCAGGAGGCTGTTCCGAATATGTGCTCTGAATCCGTTCTAGCATGACCCAGCAAAGTGCCGCGAGTTTGTTCGCTTGCCCTTCAACAATTTTCTTTTTAACTGTGGGCTACTTTCATTTTAACAAAACTTTTTAAATTAAAATTTTTGGGGTGTCAACAGTTAATAAGATTATATGGGTTTCAAGTGCACATATTTACAATGGCCGCATAAGGAAGATGTGGTACATAGTAGGTTTACAGTTGTGGGTATGCAAAACACAGAGTTTGTTCTTGTACGAGTATTTATTGGTTATTTTATTATTTTCCATACGAACAGCTGTGAACGTACTCCTGCCCACCCTGGATAGACAATGGACTACTTTCTTTAAATAAGTATTATTTAAAATCCCAGTAAGTAAAGATAAAAGTGAAGCTGGCTTGGGTACTGGAGGAGGCACAGCAGGGTTTCTGAGCCACAAAGAGCAGTACAGGGGTCCAGGAGGAAGTCAGGGGCCTTCACACAGTGCATGGGAAATAATCTTCAAGTTGCAAAATGCTAAAGTGTCCACAAACTAAAGAGGGCTGAAGTAATCTAAAAATTACTAAACAGGATCTCACGGGGCTACACATAAATTTAGGCCTCAGGCTCCATGGGGGCTAAATGAAGAAAGCCCTTCTTTCAGGGATTAAAATCAAAGGGGAGTCACTCTAGGTTAGAGTGAGTTCTTTCTCCCCTCTTGAGCCTCTCACTTTAGTGTCCCTCCTCAATTTCCTTCACTTCCCTATTTCCTTTTTTCTGCTTCCCCACTTTTTTAAATCTATCACGTTTAATTCACCTTTTGAAATTTCTTGCATGTTGCCGTGAGATTCTCAGAGACAAAACAGACATCAACAATATGACAGGTAATGACGTGCACAGTGTTGTTTTTGGCAATAGGGTTTTTGTTTGTTTTTGTAAAGGAAAATCAAGACTGTCCTGAGAGAACATTGTGAAAATGAGAACCATTTCTGCAGCGGAGTTGGATTTGGCTCTAGACAGGTGGCATGAAAATTCTGGCCCTTGATCAGGTAGAACTGTGCAGGTAATGCTGCCTTTAAGCACATACTTAGGATTCTAACTGTGAGGCAGAGGGAGTGGCCACAATGGGGACAATGGTGCAGATGCTTCCTCACTGTGGCCCCACAGACACAGTCTGCCATGAAACCCAGAGAAAGAAAGGCATGGCTTCAGGGCTAGGGAACATCGGCCCGCGGGCCATATAGGTCTGGCCCTGCCAAGGCAACTGCAGGCGGGACTGGAAATTCAATAAATCTAGGGGCTTTTTTCATAGCCAGTTTTTCAGTTGATAATTCTGTATCACCGGTGAATGATGTTATAAATATCAAAATGACCTTTGGCAGAAAAAAATTCCCCACCCCTGCGGTTTAAATTATTAAAGAGTGGGACCAAATCCTCCCCCACTCAATTTGATTCAGGCCTATATTTTCTATTTTATTCTCACCAAAACCTTCAAAAGAAACACTACTTATGAAGAATTAAGTCTCTTGTCTCTGACATCAATCTAGGCATCCTTCCCCTATGGTAACGAACTTAAACTAATTTTTTTTATATTTGTACATACTTTATTTTCCAGATAAGAGTCTCCAGATAAGAAGTCCGAGCTCAAAATGATTGTAACCTATTCTGCTTGATCAGAAATCCCTACAATAACAAATAAACTCCATTTTACCTTAATATTGTAAAACAGATTTATCAACAACCTGAGAAAAACGATGAGGGACATGCTAGTGCAGTGGAAGAATATTCAGAGAACTCTAAGCCAGTGAAAACAAATGAGCACTCACTCCCATCTCTAAGGGAAGCAGTCACTACTTAAAACAACCCGCCAATCCCAAAACAAATTTTTTGCAGTTTATTAAAATTATTTGTTTTATTAACAATCACTTCTTTGGATTTTTTAAAATTTAAATATACAGATCTATGCATGTATTTGCACTTTAATGTCTATTATTTTGTAATTCACAACAAAATAACCATAGTGCCAGGTTTTATATGCATTATGATTCACCTCAGAGAAAAACCCGACTGTATTGAAAAAAAGAAAAAAAAAATGCCATCAGAGGTTAAATCCTACTAGAGCAAAAATTTTAGTTTAACAAAAGACATTAAGCCACAGTGCGTCTAATCATTACACATGGTATCTAATACAACATTCAAGAACACAAAAGAGTATCTAAATAGCCTTTCAAGATTCCTCAATGAGATCTGACCTTCATTTTGAGTCTCTTCAAATCACAGCAAACTATATCCATCGAAAATCTCTTATTTTTCCTGTTAATTTCACCTTTAATAACACAATAGAGAAATACAAACGGTATTAAAAGCTAGATCACTTACCATAAATGCCGGTTGAAATGCAGGGAAATGCCTGTGGATAAACCACAAAAATAACAGTAAATTTTAAAGAAACAACTCTGCCCAACCCCGACACCGTTTATTTCAACATCCCTTTTGCTTGATGGTGGGACCCCTCACATACTCAGAGCTCTGGAGCCCACTCAGTTGAAGCAGGAGGCATTGTGGAAACAGGCATATCTGATTCACTGAAAACTGTTTCTTACCAGCGCTCATACCAACTCGCAAGAGCCAACTGTTAAGTTTTCAGGAATCTTGTGAACCAATTGTTAAACATAGCTATTAATAAGAAATTAAATTACATGAACTGTAATGAAACAAGTTATATCTAAAACAAATACTCAGAAATCATCTCATCACTTCCCATTTTGCCACCTCTTACTATCACCTCTGCTCTTGAGATTGCTTATGTCTATCCTGTGTGTGCGGTGCAAACACTATGTAATGGTGTCCTACTGAGCATCTTGCCCCAGCTCTATACTAAGTGACGTCGTGTTGATGGCTTAAAATCTAAAAATATCAATCAACATTCATGTCGGACTACACTTATGGGTCAACTGAAACCATAGGTAGGCTATGGATACAAAATTTTGATAAAATTCAATAAAAGTATTCTGTAAGAATCAATTGACTCTATACGAGTTATAAAGAAAGATATTATATATCATTTATTCTTATATTTGTGTGCTACACATTTATTTTATCAGTAAAATTAAAAAATAAAATTATATATATACATACTTGTTATTTTAAGTCAGTTTTTAAACATTTACTGGCACACCACTCCTTACACTGTATGCTAGGGACTAGCTGTTTTCCCAAATTAGGTCATGAGAGTGGAAGCTCAGGTTGGATCGATGCTCTTGTAAGAGGAAGAGAGCTGGCACCCCCAGCGTCCCAACACATGAGGGTAGGACGTGAAGGAAGCTGCCTGCAAGCCAGGAGGAGGGCCCTCGCCAAACATCACCTCTGCTGGCACCTTGATCTTGGACTTCCCAGCCTCCAGAACTTGGAGAAATAAATGTTTCTTGGTTAAGCCACCCTGTCTTTGGAAAATTGCTGCAGCAGCCCAAATTGACTAAGACACTCTATTTTACTTAGCAATGTTTAAAGAATTAGATTGAAAGAGTAAATGAATGTATGTAATTATATAGTTAACTCTAAATTAGACTTTCTAACAGCAGAACGTGGCCTGTGCTTGGCAAGTCCTCTGCCCATGTACCTCTGTGTGAAGTTAATCAAGTTATTCTCATCTTTCTGGTCTTTGTGTTTTCAACTGAAATTAAACATGATAACATCCGCCATGTAGAAATGTGCTGTGGGAATTCACAGAAGCTAAAACTGCAGTTGCTGGTGGCTGTAATAATTAGCATTATTACTGAGCTCAATAAGAGTGAAACATCTGTCATTTTTCATATTTTTGAGTTAAATATGTACATTATATTTTCCTTAATGTTTTTAGAGACTGTATTTTATTCCCTTTACAGGGATGTTCTATTTTAAAAAGTCACAATGTAGGTGATTTTGTTTTAGAGAGAATGTTCATTGACTCTATTAAGTTCACCTATATGTCTGCAAAATGACAGGTTATTTTCTGTTCTTTTACTAGTACTTGCTCATGTTTCTACCAAGAAAATAAGACAGTTTCTGGAGTGGAGTAGGAGCTATTTTTTAATGAGTTAATTCTTTGATTCCTTGAGCTCTTGAGATGTCAATAAGATCTGAAGAATGCTCTTGAATGACTCAATCCATCCAATGAATCAGAACCATGAAGAGAGAGTATGAAGTGAATTCTCCTGAAAGTGTTGGCGCCTCCTTACAGACATTCACCAGGACTATCAACAGGTCTTGTTCTCAGTGTGAAATCAACTGCAAGCTACTCTAAGCAAACTATTACTAATCATAAGTGCTCAGAGTACAGGAATGGCCTACTTAAAAATACACATTAGAAAATAGTCAGGGTCATCCCTATAATACACGCTATGCTCAGTTACGTTCCACTGTGTCTTTTAAATGAGGTAGAGAGAGGTGAGTTTTGGAGCTCGTGCCCCAGGAATTTCATGGGGGAGAACTGAACATACAAACATAGCCAGTCTCATGCTTGCAGTAGAGAAAGTTTTGAGAACTGCTGAACGGAGCCATCAAGCAAAAGCTAGAAGATACTACAAAGTTCTCTATATGCAAGTGCACTGAACTCCTATCTGGGCGTCCTTCCAGCTCATGATCATGAGACTTGCCTCAAGGGGTCTATCGGAGGATTCAGAGGAGGAAGCAGCACAGAGCACTCTGTCTGACAAGTAGTAATATCTCGATTAATGCCAATTCCTATGGCGGGCACCGTGATGCCCACCATACTCCATTTCAAGGGGGGATTTGTCGCCCTGGAGTAGGGCTTCCGATCCTTGGCACTACTGATATTTTGGATCGTATAATTCTTTGTTGTTGGGGGTGTCTTTTGCATTTTGAGATGTCTAGCAGCACCCTTAGGCTCTATCCACTTGATGTCAGTAGCATGCCTCACGCATGACAATAAAAAATATTTCCAGATGTTGTTAACTGTCCCCTTTGGGGGAAAATCACCCCTGATTGAGGACCGCTTCCCTCTAATGTAGGGCCCAGACCCCAGCGTTGCTGTCAGGTACTGCTTTTCCAAACATCTCCTGAGATGCGAAGAGCCGCCTCACTCAAGGTTATGCCCCTTCCCAAGATAGTCCAGATCCAATAATTAATCAATGCAAAGGATAAAGGCCTTGGCTTCTCGTGGCTCAGTTCAGCGGAGGGCCCTACCAGATTCCCTCTGCCCACTTGTGCTTCCGTCCCCTCTCTTCTCCAGGTGTTGATCCCAAGGGCACACTTAAATAAACATCCTGAACCCTAAACTCTGTCTCAGAATCTGCTTCTTGGGGAACTAACTTGAGTTACCTCCTGTCTGCTTCCCTCTCAGGTTCAGTCCTATGAGTCGGTCTCCCATCAGATCTAGCAGAAGAGAGCACATACTGAACCGCCAGTGGCGGCTTTCATTCGCCTCGGCTCCCAGCTCTATCTTGGAATCAATCATGCAGCTTAATAATTGAGTCTGAATGTACCAACTGCCTTGTCTGTTTTAACAAGGACAAATAGCTTCCTCTGAAAATGACATCGTTGCCTTGAATGTGAAGGCAAACAGATGTGTAATGGAGGGTAACTTTGGTAATATTATTGCATTAATTCAAACCAAAAGGCAATGATAAAGTAGAGATGGAAATAAAATATCATGGAAAAACTGTTTTATGTAAAACAAATCTGCATGTAATTCATCCAAACTAAATCTCCCCATTAACCACTTCTTATTACTTAAGAGAGAAAGAGACAAGGAGAAAGAAGAGTGAGCATCTGAGCTCAGCTAAGGGATTTTATGTCACGTAGTCTGTGTACTTTGCCATGATAGATTTCTGATGGAGCCACCAGAAATGAGCAGCGTGAGATTTCCTTTATTTCAAAACTATACTTAACATAGCCACTCCCACAGAAGTCCTCTCCTGGGGCAGAGTGAATGGCAGACTGGGCCAAAGCTCGAGCCAATTTGCCTGGTTTGTTTTAAGTACACAAACCCAGCAGTCACCTGTGGAACCGGGAGAGCGGCATCACCAGCCTAATTTATAAGGCTCCGATTGTCCCTCTGGCAAGACCAAGGCTCAAGAAGCCTCTGTGCTAATCAGGTCTGAGTATACAGCCGTCAGAAACTTCTTCATGGCACTTGATTTCCACCCAATATTTTTTCCCAAATCAGCATGCATTTGCTCACGTGGGGGGTTGGGGATAATCATTTGACTTGGTGAGTATAAGAAGATCTTCCTTTTGTGAAATGATGGATTGGGAAAAGACTTCTTCATTCCAGCATGTGCATTCCAAGTAGATTTGTAAAAGTGCAAATCCCTAAGGCTGTGCACTATGTCTCCCAGCCTCTTTAACCGCTGTCTCCACTTACCCCATTTCAGTGATTTGTGAGCAACGAAGGAAACATCCTTCCGCCTGTTTGTCTTGGCCCTAACAGTACCTCAGAGCCAAGGCGATCCAACATCATAACCTTCACCTGCTTTTCCTTGACCCTTGATTCTCGGCTCCTACGTTCCTGCAAGGTGGGAATTTCTTCCTCTCCGTATCCATCCACCCATCGCTTAGGCAGAGGACTTGGGCTCTGAGCAGGCCTGACTCCACCCTCGGCTTCACTGGAAGTCGCTGGTTGGCCTGAGTAAGGCGCACACACTCCCCTCGGCCACAAGAATAGGGAGACGGAGAGTTCTGACATCACTGAGCTGCTGCTGCAAACTAACTGCAAACTGCTCCCACCTTCTAGAACCTTTCAATTGCTAAGCCAAAACTTTTCTTATTGTTTAGCCAGTTTTAGTGAGATTTTCCATTATTTGCAAGCAAAAGCATGCTATCTATATACCTTCCGCATAAGTGTTTTTAATTATGTATCACATTTCACCAAATTGAAGAAGCTGTTGATTGCCAAAATAAAAACCCCCACATTATCTCATTGAACTTTGCGTGCCCCTAAGAAAGACGAAGCTCTTTATAAGTTAAATATAACAAGTGTTTTCTTATCATTTCGGATTTTTAGCGTGTACTTACTGAAATTGCTATTTTGGATTTATTTAGATAATTTTTAAGTCACATCTTGCTCTGGAGCATAGGTAAAAATGAGATAAATTGGTTAAGTTTTCCTAAAAATTCCTCACACTCAGAGTCTAGTATTTCTGAATCACTTTTCCAAACAGAATCATTGATCTAAGTTTTCCACAGTTTTATTCTGTGCTCTCAGGACCGGCGCTGCTGATCCAGTCCTTCAGGAGTGCTTCACTGTTGACTCTGAACTTTCCTCCCAAGCCTCTAACACAACACTCTCTCTAAAGCTTTGGAGCTGGCTGCTGCTTCATTGCCAACAAAGTTTCTCAGACAGCATCCAACACACACACACCTCCTCCCCAAATGGCCCCTAATGGGCTAATTGGTTGGGTGAAAGTCAAA